CTGGGCTCGAACACGGGGCACTCGGGGGGGGGCAGAAAGTCCTCGGGGGGCTCCGACTCCGCCGGCAGCCACGGCGACCCCCACTCCCCGCGCTGCTCCGGGGCGGCCCCGCCGCGGGGACCCCCGAGGGGCCGCCGGGCCTTGTCCTCGGGGCCGGGCCGATCCCCGCCGCGGGCCCCGCGCTCTTCGGGGGGCTTCCGGGGGCTGCGCTCCTCGCCCGGGGGCCGCCCCCCGGGCCCCTTGCCGGGTCCCCCCCCGCCCTTACCCCGCGGCTCGCCCCCGGTCCGGGGGGGGCGCGGGGCGCTCGCGGCCTTCTCGTCCCCCGCCGCTTTGGGGGGCGCGGCCGCCGGCCGGGGGGGCCCCGCATCCCCGGGAGGCTCCGGTCCGCCCCACTCCGCGCCGCGGCCCCGCTTGGGCTCCTCGTCCCCGTCGGGCGGCGGGGGGGGAACCCACGGCGGGGATCCCCCCGGGCCGGGTCCCCACTCGGCCCAGCCGCCCCCTGCTCGCTGCTGCTCCCCTTCCTCCATCCCTCGCACCGAGGGGAGCGGGGGGTTCCCGGGCTGCCCGCGGGGACCCCCTCAGGGGGCCATGGAGGCCCCGCCGCCCCCGCGCCGCCCCCTCACAGGCCGCGGGCCGCCCCCCCCTCCCCGAGCCGGGGGGAAAGGGGGGACACAACAGTGCCCGCGAGTTCCGCCGCCCCGCCGACCCCTCCGCGACCCTTTCGCGGCCCCTCTGGCCCGTCCGGCCCCGCCGCCCGGCGCTCCGCCCGCCTCACACCCAAGGCCTGCCCGGTCCCCCCGGCCGGGCCGCCGCCGCCATCTTGGATCCTCCTCCTCCTGCCGCCCGCCCCCCGCCCGCGCGCACGCGCGCACTGCGCAGGCGCGGCCGCGCACGCCGCCCCGGGCGGTGCTATCAGTCCGTGTGTTCTTCCGCCGAGGGACCGGAACGGGCGCCCAATGCCGCCACAGCGCCGCAACCGGCGGCTGGGACGGGAACAGAGAATGGAGAGAACAGCTCCGGAGCCCCCCTGCTGCGGTGCGGCTGATGGGAGGCGGTGTGTCGGGGTGAGGGACGGAGAAATAGTCTCCAGGCTCCACCCCCCCACGGCGGAGGGATCCGCAGAACCGCTCGCCTCCGCGGCTGGGTCAGCGGAGAAACCGGGACTTGTTGTGCACGTTTAAAGGGACGCAGCGCGCATGCGCGCCCGGCGGCCGCGACGCGCGGGGCGTGGCTGTTTTGGAGGCGGGGCTGTTTTGGAGCCCCGCCCCCTTAGGCCACGCCCTGCTGCACCTACACCGCCATGCCCGCCCCGCCCGCGGCACCTGGAAACCCTCCCGGGAACCCCAGGGACCCTTATGGACCCTATAGACCCTGTAGACCCCTCTATGGACTTCATTGGCCTGTAAGGACCCTATAGACCCGCGTGACCCCTATGGAACCTATAAATCCCCGTGGAGCCTATAGACCCCCACCCCTATGGATCCCCAGCCCCTAAGGACCCTAGAGACCCCCAATAACCCCATGGACCTCTACACACCCACAGGACCCCCACGGACCCAATAGACCCTCCAGCCTCCGTGGACACCTGGGACCCCTATGGACCCTATAGACCCCCACCCTTATGGACACTCGGGACCCCTACAGACCCACAG